TTACATTTGGGAGCCATGTTGTATGAAAAAGCCTTTCTTTAAATAATAGAATCACTTCCAGCACAGCAAGAAGCTCACCAGTAAGAGGCACAGGGGAACTCAGATTGTGTGAGAGACCAGCAGGTCTATGCCTATATAAACAAAATTTAGCATAATCTTCAAGAGATTTGTAGGCCTCAAGGCTCAGGCATGGACCTCAGGTTAAAGGTCTTTAGTACAGAGCTTTAAAATTTGCAAAGTGCTTCCCACACTCTAGTTCATTTAAATGATCAGAAACATTTTTTTGAAATGGATAGCACTGATGTTATTCCTACTTTAAAGATGAAGAAATTAAGACTCAGAGAGGCAAAATGACTTTGAGTCCAAAGACCTGGCTTTCTTATCCAATGACTTTTCTCAGTCTCCCACACTCCACTACCTTCATGACCACCTTGAAGGGGCTGGTCCTTGATCCACTTGTTGATGGAATAAGAGGATATGTGACCTTAGCATAGTTACCTAACCTCTCTGAAAGCACTTTTTTTCTCTCAAAATAAAGATATTAATATCCACTGAGCAGTGTCCTTGTAGGATTAAATGAGCCATTGGATGTAAAATTGCTTGGCAGAGTGCCTAGGATATTGCAGGGGCTCCTCAGGGGCTGGATTTTCTTCCCCTTTTCTGCTAAAACTGGCACTCTCCCAGGAAATCAAACAGACAAAGCCCTTCCTCTGCATTACTGGTGAGGTCCTGTCAATGATGACTGGGCCTTCTCACTGTCATCTCTGACCTCCAAAGGCCTTCAAAGAGTTTGAGTCTTGTATAAAACTGTTAGAGAATATCCAAACACCTTTCTTTGTTTTTGAAGTTTCTGAGGTTCTCAATGCCATTTATTTAAAATGGAGTGGAGAGCAGAGGAGCAGGTACTACGAGTCTGTCCCATCACAAATTCTATGTAACACTGGGCAGGTATCTTCAATTAAAGAAACATTTTTGGAAACAATTGTTTTTTTCTATTCATTCAGGCTCCAAGGCAATTCATGAATCTCTACTCAAACTCTCCAATGGCTGCCCATTTTACTTAGAGTAAAAGCTGAAGTCTTACAGGGGCCTATGAAGGCTTTATCAGTCAGAGTCCAGCTGGAAAACACAATTCATGCCAGGTAATTTAGCAGAGATTATTTAATGTAGGGCATTAGTTATAAAGGTGTTAGAAGAGCTAAAAGGGTAACCAAGAGAAAGTGGGGTAGCCATGAATTTAGCAACTGCAGGGCCCACCACTTCTCCCAAGACATGCAGGAATAAAGAGAAGAGTCCATGTCATTGGAGTCTGAGAGCTGGAGCTGCCCCACAGAAGCTGGAAACATGGCAGGCCTGTCTGTTGGGAGCTGGAACCAGAGATGTGGCCCCTGCTAGAGATATCATTTGAAACGGAGAGACATGGTTTTTCTTCCCTTCCACTCTCTAATCCCTCTTGACAGTGCATCCCATTGGCCAAATCTAGCCAGAAGCCAGAGGACAAGGAAGCAGTACAGAGAAGGGAAGGAAGAGTATGAGAGGAAATTAGCCATTGATGGTACAAGGACTTTCAGGGATATGGTACACCCTTCCCCAGCCCCCTATTATCTCTCTGCGTTGATGTCTAACAAACATCTCATTTCTCATTCACTCCAGCCACACTGGCCTCCTCATTGCTCTTTGGACCCACCAGTCCTTTAAATTTTCCATTCCCTCTGTCTGGATTTTATTCACTAGATAGCCACATGGCTCCATTCCCTGCTTCTATCACCTTCTAAGTGAGAGGCCTTCTCCAACCACCCTATTTAAAGTTGTACGTACTTCCCCTTCACTGGCTGTATAAGTCAATTCTCATACTGCCATAAAGAACCACCTGGGGCTGGGTAATTTATAAAGAAAAGAAGTTTAATGGACTCACAGTTCTGCATGCTGTACAGAAAGCATGGCTGGGAGGCCTCAGGAAACTTACAGTCATGATGGAAGGGCAAAGGGGAAGCAAATATGTCTTCACATGTTGACAGGAGAGAGAAAGAGCAAAGGAGAAAGTGCTTTGTGCTTTGAAACAACCAGATCTCATGAGAACTTACTATTACGAGAACAGCAAGGGGGAATCCACCCCCGTGATCCAATCACTTCCCGCCAGATCCCTTCCCCAACATTGGGGATTACAATTCAACATGAGATATGGGTGGGGACACAGAGCCAAACCATATCATTCTGCCCTCCTAAATCTCATGTCTTCTCACATTTCAAAATACAATCATGCCTTCCCAACAGTCTCCCAAAGTCTTAACTCATTCCAGTGTTAACTTGAAAGTCTAAGAGACTTTGGAAGTCTCATCTGAGACATGGCAACTCCCTTCCTCCTATGAGTCTGTAAAATAAAAAACAAGTTAGTTACCTACAAGATACCATGGGGTTGCAGGCATTGGGTAAATGCTCCCATTCCAAAAGGGAGAAATTGGTCAAAACAAAGGGGTTATATGCCCCATGCAAGTCCAAAACCCAGCAGGGTAATCATTAAATCTTAAACTTCTGAAATAATCTCCTTTGACTCTATGTCTCACATCTAGGACATGCTGATGCAAGGACTGGGCTCCCAAGGTCTTAATCAGCTCCATTTTTGTGACTCTGCAGGGTACATCCCCTGTGTCTGCCTTCATGAGCTGGCATTGAGTGCCTATGGCTTTTCTAGATGTATGGTGCAAGCTGTCAGTGGATATAACATTCTGTTGCTTAGAGGATGTTGGCCCTCTTCTCACAACTCCTCTAGGCAGTGTTCCAGTGGGGACTCTGTGTGGGGTATCCAACCCCACCCCTCTGCACTGACCTAGTAGAGTTCTCTCCATGAGGGCTCTGACCGTGCAGGAGACTTCTGCCTGTATAACCAGACATTTCCATACACCCTCTGAAATCTAGACAGAGGTCCTCAAACCTCAGCTTTTCCCTTCTGCACACCCACAGGCCCAACACCACATGGAAGCCATCAAGGCTTGAGGCTTGCATCCTCTGAAGCAATGGCCAGAGCTTTATCTTTGCCCCATTTAGCCACAACTGAGCCGGCGCATTTAGGATGCAGGATGCCATGTCCTGAGGTTCACAGAGCAGCAGGCCCTGGGCTTGGCCCACAGAACCATTTTTCCCTTCTAGGCCTCTAGGCCTGTGATGGGAGGGGCTGCTGTGAAGGTCTCTGAAGTACCCTGGAGACATTTTCCCCTGTTGTCTCAGCTATTAACATTCAGTTCTTCTTCACTTATGCAAACTTCTGCAACCTTGAATTCCTCCCCAGAAAATGAGTTTTCTTTTCTACCACATGGTCAAGCTGCAAAATTTCCAAACTTTTGTGATCTGCTTCCCTATTAAATATAAGTTCTAGTTTCAGGTAATTTATTTGTTTATGCAAATAAGCATATGCTTTTGGAAGAAGCCAGGCCACATCTTGAATGCTTTGCTGCTTAGAATTTTCTTCCCCCAGATACCCCAAATCATCTCTCTTAAGTTCAAAGTTCCACAGATGTCTAGAGAAGGGGCACAGTCCCACCAGTCTCTTTGCTAAAGCATAGCAAGAGTGACCTTTACTCCAATTCCCACTAAGTTCCTCATCTCTACCTGAAACCACCTCAGCCTGGTCTTTATTGTTTACATCATCATCAGCATTTTGGTCACAACCAATCCGTGAATCTCTAGGAAGTTCCAAACTTTCCCACATGTTCTTCCATTCTTCTAAGCCCTCCAAATTGTTCCAACCTCTTCCCATTACCCAGTTCCAAAGCTGCTTCCACATTTTCAGGTGTCTTTATAGCAATACCCCTCTCCTGGTACCAATTTTCCATATTAGTCCATTCCTACACTGCTATAAATAACTACCTGAGACTGGGTAAATTATTTTTACTTTTATTTTTGTGATGGAGCCTCACTCTGTCACCCAGACTGGAGTACAGTGGCATGATCTCAGCTCACTGCAACCTCTGTCTCCTGGGTTCAAGCAATTCTTGTGCCTCAGCCTCCCAAGTAGCTGAGATTACAGGCACCTACCACCACACTCAGCTAATTTTTGTATTTTTAGTAGAGATAGGGTTTCACCATGTTGGCCAGGCTGGTCTCAAACACCTGACCTCAAGTGATCCACCTGCCTCAGCCTCCCAAAGTGCTGGGATTATAGGTGTGAGCCACCACACCAGCCAAGGCTGGGTAATTTATAAAGAAAAGAGGTGTAATGGACTCGCAGTTCTGTAGGATGTGCAGGAAACATGGCTGGGAGGCCTCAGAAATTTGCAATCATGGTCAAGGTAAGGGGGAAGCAAACACATCTTCACGTGTTGGAACAGGAGGAGGAGAGAGTGAAGGTGGAAGTGCTATGTACTTTCAAACAACCAGATCTCATGAGAACTCACTCACTACCATGAGAAAAGCAAGGGAGAAATCTGCTCTCATGATTTAGTCACCTCCTACCAGATCTGTCCTCCAACATTGGGGATTACAATTCAACGTGAGATTTGGGTGGGACACAGAGCTAAACCATATCACTGGCCCTCCTTTCTGCTTTATTCTTCTCTCTAGCATTTATAACCATTCAACAGTCTAGGCAGTCTACTGCCTCTCTCTAGAATGTGAGCTCCATGGAGGCAGGGATTTTTATCTGGTTTGTTTGCTGCTATATTCCCTGTGCCTAGAACAGTGCCTGGCAAATAGTAGATATTCAATAAATACTTTCTGAATAAATGAATGGGTGAATCAAGACAAAATGCCTCCTTCATTTTTATTCCCTTGATCATTCAATAAATTCTAGTTGGATGATAGATTGAAGCGGGGGGTGAAAGCAGGTAGACTGAATAATTAGAATGCAATTCTGATCACTGGTCCTCTGTTTTCCCACTCATAAGACAAATGAGCTGAGGAGGAGACCTCAAAGTACTCTTTCAGCCCCACTATTCTATGAATCTAAGAGCATTTCCCAGTAGAAATACTTGGAAGATAAAATTAATCCTCTCTTTAATCAACAGTTTCTATCTCTGCACGTGACTTGTCAGGGGAACTTTTCTCTGATGCTCACACGATGCGGGAACTTGTCACATCTTCAATCTCTGGGAACGTCCTCACCTGAAATTGAAAGGTAAATATTTCAGTTGTGAGTCTCTCTGTCATGACTCAAATAATTTTAAAATTGCTTAGATGTCTTTGCCTAACAATGTTCAGGTTGTTCTAATGCAGGGGAAAACGGTAGTTTTAGACACAGTAATATTGATAGCAGCTAGTAATTTCCATGTACTTCTCACAGTTATTGGCACTGTGAGGATTACCAAGGAGAACTTTTTACTTACTAAAAAGACATTCTACGTTGAGGGCCCAGCATGGTGCCTGGCAATAGAAGATGCTCACTAGAAGGTGAGTTTTGCAATAATTATTTTCATGGAGTTGGGTTGAGAAATAGCTGTGCTTCTCTCCAAGATGCTATAAAGTAAACAGGCATCTCAGCTCATAGGGATTTTATCCCTAGAAGACCTTGCTAGATAGACAGCTCAGAATTGGCACAATCTTCCCCTCATTCTTTTAGCAGATGGTCTCTAGTGCCTTCATGAGAATCAAACTCCATCCCTGCCCCCAAGTAGCTCCCTATCTAGTCAGAAGGACAATATAATGTGAAATAAATATCAGTTAATGGATGTCCATACAATAATAAAGGAAGGTTTTGGGTATTGACCTGAGTCTTTAGAAGATCAAAAAAGATGTTTCAAAAACTGTACACTGAGTCAAGCACAAATTTTGTTTTGTTACCTTCACTTACCAGTCTTAAAAGAAAAAGAAAAGAGAACTAAGTTAGTAAGAAATTATCAACATCTGAAAGACTATGGTTTATTTATGTGACTATTTTTATTGTCGGTTTCCTTTTCAAGGCCAGGGAATTTTATTTTGATTTGTTAACTGCCTTATCCCAGCATCTAGAATCATGCTGGGTGCATAAGAAGTCCCAAATGAATATTTGTTGACAGATGGACTAGACTAGTGGTCAGTCTAGGCCACTGTGAAGAGGAAATAAAAGTGGGCCCAGGCAAGAGAGAAGCTAGAAGAGACCCCAAGGCCCATAGGTCAGTGGGATGCATAGGGATTGGGGGAAGTTGGGAGAGGGAAGAGAAAAGGTTGCAGAGATTGGAGGGGTTGCAAGACCCTGGGAAGCTTGAACACCAGGCTAGGCATCTTGCCCTGTGTCCTAAGGCCCTGGAGGGACAGTGAAGGATTTTAAGCTACAGCGAGGCCTGCTTAAACTCCTGCTCCAGGACCTTCTCTTTCTTTTCAAGGTTTCCAGGTTTCTTTTGTGTTTTTTGCTTTATTTGACATGTCTAGTCTTATTTCAGAGTTGTCTTGGCCAGCCAAAGTCTTTCAGTGAGTGGGAGGGATCCAGTTATCTGCTCTTCCCTTCCCCAAATTCAATGTAACCTAACTCAAGCCCACATTTCTTCCTATAATTAAACTCAAACTCCAGCTAAATTGGGCAAATATTTTAAAATGACAACTCAAAAGGATGTTTTAGTAATTGTGTGATGAAGATGTCAGATCTTTGTCATTTCATTGCAGCAGAAGGCCAGCTGGGAGGGAAGTCACTTTTTGAGATTTTAATAATGTGTGCAATTCCATATATATATATATATATATATATATATATATATGATGACAGCTGGATGCCAGTTTCACAGAGGATAGATCCAGCTTTGGTTTGGTGTGTCTGTGCTATCTGCCTTGTCTCAGGATCTTCTTTAGTTGATATTAACAAAACTCTTTATATTCATTGACAAATATTTATTAAGCACCTACCAGGTTTCAAACACTGCCCTAGTTGCTGAGGCTGGGAAGTCAGTGTTGGCAAGAATCTAGGTCTTTGCCATCAAGGACTTTTTAGTCTAGTAGGGAAGATTTAGCACATGACCACAAGATCACCACAGCAAAAACAGCTGTCTTAATATACTATGTGTGATTTGCATACATTTTCTCATTTAACTCTCACAGTAATCCATTGTGGTTGTCAGTTTTGCCCCTATTTTGTAAGACAAGAAAACCAACTGTCATGTGGTCAGTAAATGGTACAGTCAGGATTTGAGCTTAGGTCTGACCCCAACCCCATGTTCTTTCCATAATGCTTGTGTCTTATTTTAGAGCAGAGCTTTATGGTATGTATGTAGGATGGGAATGGGAGGAGGTCAGCCATGCAGTACATCAGGTGTCCTTAGAAAAGAAGAAAGAGCAAATGGAAAATGGAAACTGGCTAACATAAGGAATGGGGAAACTGAAAGAAATAGAATTGTTGGTCTGCTTTACAGGTAGTCAAATCACCAAGCTCCAGGAGTCTAGGGGCTTTATTTTAATAAAAGCAAGGCCCAATGTTTTAGGGTTTCTGTCAAAAGACAGTGATATGGAGGTACAGTGGGGCCCCAGACTATCCTTAGTAGAGAAAGTACTCCAAAAATGGCATTGACACAGGGAAAGGCCTTGGGGAACTAGACCAGATTCCATGCAAGGGTTAGGCAAGATGGGGAGAGAATATGTTCGACTGACTAACACACTCTTGTAAGCATTTACTGATTTCCCCTGGAGTTGCATGAAGACTCATTCACTATCATTGACACTCACTCCATGGATATGACCCACTCACTCTGTGCTAATCATAAGGTTGTCCACAGAGATCTCACTTATCTTCCCCTTTCAGGCATTTTTCTGCTCTCTTGTGTTTAGGCATGCCCATATGACTTACTTTAGTTAGTTGCATAAGTGAAAGTAATGCCTTCAGAAGGTAGTTTTAAGAACCAGTGGAAGACGGAGCACATTCTCTTCCCCCTGCTGTGGTGAAAGCCAGTATCAGTCAAGATAAAGCCTTCATAATCCTGGGTCCCTGAGTGACTACAATGAGCAAGGCCTCCCTGGTGATCCACAATGGATATCTCATGAAAACTAAACCTTTGTTGTTTTAAGTCATCAAGACTCTGGAGTTGTTTGTTATTGTAGCATAACCTAGCTAATTCTGACTGATATACAAGTTACAGTCTCTCTGGTTCATTCAATCAACCATCCATCAATTGATCCATTTATATTCATTTAATTAATAAAAATTTATTGATCCTCAACTATGTACCAGCCATTTCACCTACTGGCTGATGGGAATAAAGCAGTGAACAAGATCAAGGTTCCATTCCAATGTAGCTTAATTTCTACTGTGGCAAACAGACTCTCTCTCCCTCTCTGCAACCTCTCTCTCTCTTTCTCTCTCTACATGTATGTGTATATATATATTTATATACATACCTATATATATTTCTCTCTATATATGTATAAAACAACAGTAGTAGTGGGACAGGTGGTGTGAAGTGATCAGATTTGGGGTTACTTCTGAAGGTAGTTTGCTGATGAGTCCTGATGAATTAGATGTGGGAGATGAAGAAAGAGAGAAGGTGTTACTGTGAAGTTACTCATTCACTTTGATGCCTCACCCCCATCTCATCTGCAGGATAACCAACCCTAGCCAGGAGATGCTGTGGGGCTTCCATCTTAGCACTGGCACACTTGGGGTTTTCCTCAGGGATCCACTTCATCCCTAGTCCTTTTCTCCCTGTTTATCTTGATTTTCTGGTTTCTGGATGGTTCATAGCTACCTTTGCTTCCTCCAAGGTATTTGTGAACTGCCTCATGCTTTTCCCAATACCTCATCTCTCATGAGTTCCTGACCAGAACTTATACTGGAGGAGGTGAAGAGAGATGGTGGAGGTGCCACTGTTATTGAACAAAAGGGACTTGTTGCCTGACGTGCCGGAAGCCAATGCGATGACATCGGCTATTTTTTTTTTTAGAAAAGAAAAGATTTGTATTGAAAGTTGACTCTCAAGAAGGTAGAAGTCGAGCCCAAATCTGTCTCCCCGTACTGGCTTTAATGCAGTATTTTTACTAGGAAAGGCTCAAGGGGTGGATTCTGAGATTAGTAGGTGATTGGTGGGAGGAAAGGAGAGGTCTGAAAATTCCTTGGGCATGAACAATTATGTCTTCATGATAAATCATGGGTTGCATGTGCAAATTCGGGAGGAGTTAGTATGAAACATGTGGTGGTTGTGATGTCAGCAAGCTCGCTCTGCACAACGGCCAGTCAAACATCTTGGTTCTAGCTGATTTTAGTCGAGGAGTTTCAGTGTTTTTGACAGGTTGTTTTTTTTTCTTCTCTGCCATCCTAAAAACTAAGAATTTCTGTTAGTGATTCATTTCTTTAACTCTTTAGGACACAGTCTCACCACCATGAGCCACTGCCGTAGAGAATATCTGAGAAGGTTCACAGTAGGGACCAAGCACTGCTGGACCACTGGACTCTAATTCCCTTCAGGCTCCCAGGAGCTTCTGGCTGATCTGTCTATTCTTCACGCAGTTTGGGGCCACCCTTGATGACAATGTCCCCTACAGAAAGAATCCAAGAGAACCTGACACTTCAGGGACAATATTTAGAATCTAGAAATTGTTATTATTTTGGGATGTATGTGATAAGGGAGAATGGGGAGTCAAGGGCAAAACCAAGAAAAAATGGGGATGATTGAAGGTGATAGTCCCTGAGATGAGAACACCTCAGTAGGCACAGAATTCAGGGGAGATACTATGTTCTGTTTGGGATATGTTGAGTTGACATGTCCAAAAGTACCTGCTGACATCCAGTTGAAGAGGTCTAATGGATACCTGGAAAGATAGGTTCAAAGATTGAGGCTGAAGATATAGATCTGTCCATCAGAATACAAATTACTTATAGTCATGGGATTGGGTAAAATCTCCCACAAAAAATAAGTATAGACATACAAGAAATTGTCTGCAGGGGAACTTGACAGGAGGTTTCCAGGAGAAGTCCAGAGAGAACAACATGGAGGTCCAGCAAGGTGGTCTTTTTATTGTTTTTAAGATGGAAGAGGTTTGAACATTCTATAAGAAGAAAGACAAGTGAGAGAGGCTAAGGGGTTTCATTCATTCACTCATTCAGTTACCCATGCAGCTCTCACTGATGTTGTATTTAGTCCTTCCTATTATTCAATTGAACAGACATTTTTGAGTACCCCTGGAGTACTCTGTGCTAGACTCTAGTCCCTGTCCTAAAGTCAG